ATATATAGCCTTTAATATATATATAAATAAATTAAGTATTTTAAAAAATATTTTAATAATTTTATAGCTTTATTATAGCTAATATAGGTTAAGCCTTAAACTTAAGCCCCTTGCTATAGCTATAAAAGATAAAAGACAATGCTAAGATAGCTAGGATATAAAATTATAACTTTACAGTACTTTAAGATTACCGGGAGCAGAATCAGAACTAAATAAGAATAGATAAAGTCTAGCGTTAAAAGACAGCAGATATTGGCTAGTTACAGTCATTTCAGGAGCAGTTCTTTTATCTCCATGAGCAATTGCGAATCAATTACTAGTTTTCTACATTACAGTCAATTCTACCGATACGAAGTTGGCTCTTGTAGCCTTGATAGGGACTAGAAATACATAACATCTACTTGTATGGAACTACTGACGTATATAGGAAAGGGAAAAAAAGCACAGATAATTATAAGACTAACCACCGCTTCCAAACTTAGGGAATGACAAGCTGAGTTTGTCGCAAGTGAACCTAACAAAGTAGTCATTCTTGGACCCCGATCCATCAACAATGACAGTTCCATCTGGCGCCGTAACAGTGACAATCATGCCATAGTCCCCCTGGGCATTAGCCCACAAAAGACGAAACGGGGTGTAAGTACCTGCAGTGAGCTGAATTTTGTATGTCTTCGAGGCCGACGGTCCCCACGAATAACCTTGCTCCAAATCCGCATTACTGCGCGTCCATGAAGTCATAGCCTTGTTACCGAACCAGACCAAGGTGATCTCATCAGAGTATGGAACTACGATGGAATAGACCCCTGTGATAGGTGCGTATAAGAATGCTCGATGGTTGACTGCTTTGTACTGCCACCACTGAATCGGTGAGAGGGGATAAATACTCTGGGGAGTATAGGGATTTCCCGACGTTCCTCCTCCAACCTCCTGGATGCCAATTCGGTCTGTAAGACCAGTAAAGGTCGGTAGCTTTGTCTTGAAGGATTCGGCATTGAAGGATGAATAATTGGGAGGGTCAGAATTGTAATAATTGTGGGTGTAAATGGCGTATTCCAAGCCTGTGTTGTCGCATGTCTGGTCCGCGACTTGCGTGCCAACGGCAGGAAGGACAACACATACCGTGGCAGGTGAACCGTCAGTTGGTACCGGCCCCGTGGATATGCTCGAGCCTGAGAATCCAGTAGAATAGCTCGTCACTGTTGTATACGACGCGGCGACCTGAACAACGACAGTAGCGGGATCACCTTGAGAAGCTGGCGGCATGGTTGTAGTCGCCCCGGTCGTGTAGGAACCGTATTTGAACAGGGTCGTGTATGGCTGAGGAACTTGTACAACCACGGTGCCAGAATCTCCTTGAGAGGCTGGTGCTAAGGTTGTAGTTGCCATACCGGAGAAGGAACCGTAAGTAGTTAGAGTCGTGTAAGGCTGGGGAACTTGAACAACTACAGTCGCCACACTATCTTGAGAGTTAGGGGCCATGGTGGTAGTTGCCGCAGTTGTGAAAGCCCCGTAAGTCGTTGTAGTTGTATAAGACAGGGGGACTTTAATAACAACAGTAGCAACACCGCCTTGTGAGGCCGGTTGTAAGGTCGCAGTTGCTGCTGCGGAGATGAACCCATAACTGGTGACGGTTGTGTACAGCTGAGGGAGTCCGATAACAACAGTGGCCAGGCTGCCAGGTGCAGAAGGTGCTACGGTACTAGTTACAGGGGCAGTGAAAGACCCATAACTAGTCACTGTAGTGCATGGCTGAGGGAGCTTGATAAGAACAGTAGCAGCGATGTCTTGAGACGCCGGCGGTAAGGTTGTAGTTGTAGCAGCTGGGATGAACTCATAACTGGTGACGGTTGTATATGGCTGCGGGGCCTGAACGATAACAGTAGCTAGTGGACCAGGTACAGGGTCTTGTAATGTTGAAGTCTCAAGAGTGGTGAAAGTCCCATACGTAGTCACAGTTGTGTATGACTGCGGCACCTGCTCTAAAACAGTAGCAAGAGCTCCCGGAATAGAGGGTCCGATAGTTGTAGTTACATCTGCTGTAAAAGGACCATAGCTTCTCACTGTCGTATACAGCTGTGGGGCGTTGACGACAACAGTAGCCACAGGACCAGGTGCAGACGGGTCTAGTGTTGTGGTCAAAAGTCCTGTAAAATCGCCATAGCTAGTCAGGGTTGTATACGACTGTGGCACTTGAACAACAACAGTAGCATCGCTACCAGGGACAGAGGGTGCCAGTGTCGTAGTTGCAGCAGCTGTAAAAGAGCCATAGCTAGTGATGGTTGTATACGGCTGAGGAAGTCCAACAACAACAGTAGCTAAGCCATCAGAGGCCGACAAAGTGGTAGTCGTAGGCCGAGCATAGGACCCGTAGCTTGTGAGAGTTGAATATGAGATAGGAAGATTGACCAACACTGTGCAAACGTCTCCTGGAGTTGATGGCTGCAACGTCGTTGTCAAAGGAGAAGCAAAGGCGACATAGCTGGTAATAGTGGTGTATACCTGAGGGATCTTGACCATGACAGTGACAAAGTCCCAATCAAGTGAAGGTTGATATGTAGTAGTTGAAGGTGCAGTGGCGCTCTCAACGTAGGTCGTGACAGTTGTGTACGATTGTGGGAGGTCAAGGAGTACAGTGATAATATCTCCTGCCGTAGCTGCCGGCAAAGTGGTTGTTGCGGGAGCGGTGATGTCTGGGCGGTAGCTTCTGACTGTAGTATATACCTGAGGAATTTCAACTACAACAGTACCATCGTCACCAGGAAGAGAGGGCTGGTATGTTGTAGTCAAGGGCGAAGTCACAGTGTCAACATAGGACGTGATAGTTGTATACGACTGTGGAAGATCAAGAAGCACAGTGATGACATCACCGGCAACTGATTCCGGCAGGGTCGTTGCTGCGGGGGCAGTAATACCTGGAACGTAGTTTGTGACCGTTATATATGATTGCGGTAGATCAACCTCAACCGTAATGACGTCGCCTGCAATAGAGACAGGGTATGTCTTTGTCCCTGGTGTAGTCAAAGCACCATAGCTTGTGACTGTTGTATAGACTTGAGGGAGGTTGACCTCTATAGTCATGACATCGCCTGCAACGGAGACTGGGTACGTTGTTGTGGTAGGTACAGTGAAGGATCCATAGCTAGTGACGGTTGTATAGAGTTGAGGGAGATTGACCTCCACTGTCATGGTGTCTCCTTCGCTAGAGGCCGGATATGTCGTCGTCAGGGGTGCAGCGAAAGACCCATAGCTGGTAACAGTAGTATACAGTTGCTGTAGAAGAACTAATACCGTAATAACGTCTCCAACACTGGAGACTGGGAAGACTGTTGTACTAGGCGTGGAAAACGAGCCATAGCTGGTGACTGTAGTGTAGAGTTGAGGGAGATCTACCTCCACTGTCATGACATCTCCTTCACTGGAAGCCGAATATGTTGTAGTCGTGGGTGTAGAGAAAGGACCATAGCTAGTGATAGTTTTATATAGCTGGGGAAGATCAAGAAACACGGTTACGATGCTCTGAAGTCCGGTAGGACTCTCGGTTAACATAGCCGAAGCTGTGGCACTTCCGTATCGAGTAATCGTCACGTATGACTGGGGCTCGACGATGACTACGGTCACTGTTTCGCCTGGAATAGACTGAGGCAGTGTGGTGGTGGATGCAGCTGTGACAACTCCGTAGGACGTAACAGTCACCCACTGTTCTGGCTTATACACCATAACAGTGCCCGTCTGCTCTCCGAGAGAAGGAGTAAAGGTGATTGTAGCCGCGGCTGAAACTGTCGCATCGTATGAGGTGACGGTCACCCACTGGTACAGCTGATTAACAACAACACCACCCACAGGGGAGGGCGAAACTGTGGATGTGTACGTGTCGGTGTCTGTGGCGGTTGTAGATGTTGCGGTCGTTACATCAGATGATGTTGGACTAGTCGATCCATCGGGCTGATTGACAGAGATGTTATCTGAATTAGAAGACAAATCTGTATATGTAGAAATGTCTGTGCCTGTTGATGTGTCTGTAGTCATGGCACCAGAGGATTGAGTAGTTGATTGATCTGCCTGATAGGTAACATATGTGCCATCAGTAGAAGCTGAAACTATAGATGTAGATGAGTCTGTGTCTATATCGCTTGTAGCTGTCTCGGTTGTTGTAGTATCAGATGATGTTTGACTAGTTGACTCGTCTGATTGGTTGACAACAGCATTATTTGAGCTGGAAGGCAAGTCTGTATATGTCGACATGTCTATTCCTGTTAATGTGTCGGTGGTGATCGTATCAGGAAATTGACTAGTTGATGGATCCGTCTGGTAGGTGACATCAGTGCTCTCACTAGAAGGCGAATCCGTTGACGTAGAGATGTCTGTGTTTGATATAGATGTATCGGTGGTCGTTGTATCGAGAGCTAATTGACTAGTCGGTTGAACAAACTGATTGAGAACAGCGGTGTCTGCACTAGAAGACAAAACGGTAAATGCAGACGTGCCTGTGCTTGTTAAAGATGTGTCACCCGCCGTCGCAACAGGAGATGATTGACCAATCGATTGAACTAGCTGATTGAGGACAACGTTATCTTTGGTAGAAGGCGAGGTCGTAGATGTAGACATGTTCTTGTCTGTGTCTGTAACTGCTGTAGATGTGTCGGCGGTAGTGGCATCGGGAGACGATTGACTAGTCGACTGATCTGCCTGAGAGATAACAACAGTTCCCGTATGCCCTGTGGTTGAAGGTGATATAGTACTTGTGGGCGCAGCCCATTGACAAGACTCGCAGGTGGTGACAGTATCTGCTTGGACGGATGACGTTGGAGTTGTCGAAGTACTAAATTCAGCAGTATCTGTGCTATCGTAAGAAGTAGTACTCGATTCCTGTTCAGATGGAGCGGGCGACAAGGAGGTTGTAGTTGATTCATCGAAAAGCGTCGTGGTAACGGACGACGCGGTGGCGGCTGACAAGGCTGCAACTGTTCCGTCGTAAGATGTCGCCTCATCAGAAGATATCGAGGTATCAGTTAAGGTAGTTCCATCAGAAGACGACGTCAACCTATCAGGCGATGCGATAGCAAGTGTTGTAGCTGTAGCTGTTTCCTCAGAAGATATGAACCCATTATAAGATAGGGATTCACTAGGCGATATGGTATCAACGGTTGTTTCGTCATGGGAGATAAAGCCATCGGACGTTGTCGATCCACCAGAAGCCATTGAGGTATCGGATAATGAGGTAGCAAGGATTGTAGCTATGGTAGCTCCACCAGAGGAGGCAAAACCATAAGAAGATGTAGATCTATCAAAGCTTGCAGATTCATCAGATGTATACCCATCGGACGATGTAGATTCATCTGGCGATACGGTAGTAAGTGTTGTAGATAGTTCCTCAATGGAGGTAACGTCATCAGAAGATGGGCTGATAAGGGGAGAAACTGTAGTTGTAGGCTCAGATATAATTGTACTATCTGTAGATGTAATACCAACTAAGGATGTGCTTCCATACGAGGATACAGAGCCATCTGAGAGAGTGGTTCCGACCGAGGATATCGACGTTGGAGACGAAGATGCTCCCTGAGAAGAAGTAAACCCATCGGACGATGTTGTTATATCGAGGGAAGTAGTTTCATCAGTAGGTGTATACAAAACAGGCATTACAGTAACTATAGTTGTAGCCGTAGGTGTGTCGTCAGAAGATGAGCTGATAGCGTATGATGACGTTATAACCGGCAGTTTGATCAAAACCGCACCAAAAGAGTCGGACTCTGATGGTATATCTGTGATAGGGGCAGTATCAGTCCCGCCTCCGGTGGTAGTCCTGTCCATGTACGAGATCGGATCGTAAGAGCCCATAACGCTCGTGGAGGCGTCCAGGCTTGCTGAGGCAGACGAGACAGGAGAGGTGACTGACGAGCCTTCTGTGGTACCAGTCTCAGATAAAACCTGCGTAGAGATCGCACTGGTACTCTCACTACCAGGGGTAGACGAGACAGGTAAGGTGAGGATTGTAACTTCTGTGGTGCCAGGCCTAGACGAACTCTGCGTAGAGGTTACGCTGGTACTGTCAATGCCTGAATCAGAGGAACCAGATAAGGTAACTGATGAGGTTTCTGCAGTACCAGGTTCAGATGAACTCTGTATAGAGATCGTCGTGGTGCTATCAGTAACTGGAGTAGAAGGCATAGGTAAGGCAACCGATGTGACTTCTGTTGTGTCAGGACTAAGAGAACTCTGTGTAGAGGTCTCACTGGTACTGCCAATACCTGGAGTAGAAGAATCAGACAAGTTGACTGATGAGATTTCTGTAGTACCAGGTTCAGCAGTACTCGAAGGAACAGCAGTAGTACTATCAGCAACTAATGTAGTAGATAGTGTGTTAGGAGAAGACTCGGCTTGTCGCTGGTTGGCTACCAATCCGCTTATGCTAGATCCAGATGTCTGTGTATACACCGTGGTGGCGGCACCAGAGGCAGATGTATGATGAGAAATACTTGTCGAGATATCTGGGGTTGCTGAGTTTGGAAAGGAAGATGACGTCTGTAAAGAAACGGTGATAGTGGTATCAGAGGTAGAGATGTAATCCGCAGTACTTCTGGCTGAGGTATCTGGCATTGATGAAGTTGAATCGGAAGATGATGTAACGCTTGATGTGGTAGATAGTGTTCCAATAGAGCTAGACTCAGGGGATGCCTGCCAAGAGCTTTCGGAAGTACTATCAGTACTGGAAATGACGCTCGTTATACCTGAGGCATACTGAGGAAGTTGCTGAATAGTTACCGAACTACTGAGCTCAGGTACTGAGGAAGTGTCTGTGGTAAGCACAGTATTACCATCTGTACCGAAAATAGAGCTTGTTGTATCAGCGGCAGACTGGGCAAGTTGTTGAACGATTAGCGGGCCGCTCGGTCCAGGGTCTGAGGAGGTATCTGCGGTAGACACAGTAGTACCATCAGTATCGGAAAATGAGCTTGTTGTACCGGGAGTAGACTGGGCAAGTTGCTGAACGATTACCGATCCGCTCGGTCCAGGATCTGAGATGTCTGTAGGAGACATAGTAGTACTCCCAGTGCCTGTATTGGTCACTTCAGTCGATAAAGATCCAATGGGACTTGCAGGCATGGTACCGCCATTGACACTTGTTGGCACTCCGAGAGACGAACTCCAGCTCATGAAAGACTCAGATGACGTCTCTGTGATAGTTGAAGTTCCACTGTCGCTGTCTGTAACAGTTTCTGTACTATGGAGAGGCGAAGTAGAGCCTGTAGCTGAAACGGAGATGATAGAGAGGAGAGTTGTGTCAGAGAAGAAGGAGATTAAAGAGACGGTGGTGGTCTCAGAGACCTGCATGTAGGTCTGTATGCTGATGACGGTAGTTCTATCGGTGCCTGAAATAGTCACTGCAGCATACAGTGTGGAGGTAGAACCTGGAGTTGAACTACTAACACTGAAAGGCTGGAAGGAATTTGAAGAGGCAGATGAAGTGCTTGTTCCAGATGTCAGCGCTCCCGTATCTGTGCTGACCATATTACTATCATCGGTGGTTGCATCCGGTTCTGTAGTATACTGTGTCGATGTATCGCTTTTGATGGTATAGGTGGTGTTCAAAAAGCGGAAGGAACTCGAAATGGGGAATGGTGTGCCGGTCAAAGACCTTGTCTGAGAAGTTTTCGTTGAAGACTCTATGCTGATGAAGGTACTACCCTTGCTTTCGGCTGCACTGGTAGTGCTCGACGAGGGGGAGGAACTTGAGGTGGCAGATGACTCAGTAGACGAAGAGCTTCCTTCAACTACCATAGTCGAAATCTCCATGCTAGACATGGCACTACTGGTACCTTCGGTTGAGACGGCAGTATTTGATGAGAGGGATGGACCCGCAATGGCGGATGATTTGAAGGACAAAGAGGTTGGTTGAGAGGTCCTTGTTGAAGTATCTGTGCTCATGTCGGTGCTACTATTCGTGTCCACAGCAGTCTCTGTAGTAGAGGTCGAGGAGGTAGAGGCTGGAGGTGCCCAAGGAGAGACTAAAGGAAAGTGGTTCTTTGGTGCGACGAAAGAGACTGGCAAGACAAGTAGCACAGAAGACACAGTGTCGGTTTGCGCATTTCGAGAAGAAGTATCAGTACCGACAACAGCGGTGGCATCGGTTCCAGTGCCAGTGGTCACTCTGGGAGGAGGCCTGGTAGAAATAGTGGTTGGCAGATCACTGCCAATACTTGCTGACGACTCAATGAATACAATCCCCGTTCCTCCAGACTGATTTGGTGTAAGACTGGTCTGTGTAGTAGTTTCAGAGACCTCAACGACCACAGTTCCAACACCATGTGTCCCGGCGGGTTCTATTGTGTAAGTGTGAGTGGTGGAGACTGCTCCAATGGAAGTCACAGTCACGAACGTAATATGCGTGAGCCATGTCGTATCTGTACTACCCCTCATACTGTGAACCCCGGACTCTATTGAGTCTGGTGACAGCTGTGTCATAACAGAGGAAGCTGTTAGAGGTCTGTCGGTGTCTGTGTTGAGCTGTCGTGAAGCAGTGGTCCCCAGCTGACTTGAGAAGGCCTTTGCTGTTGCTTTTGAGGAGATAAAGTCATCAGTTCCCGGTGATTCATTGGTAGAACTTGCATCCTCAGGGGGCGACGAAATCGACATCCGAGTAGTGACGAGAGGAGAATTGTGAGGATTCGTGGCTCCATGAGCTTTCAAGCTTCCTTGAGGCTTAGTAGACTCAAGCATCTGCGTTGCCCGGTCCTGGGTTTTGTGACGATTACTGGACTGATATTCTGGTTGTCCGAGGACTACGGTTGCTGTTCTGCCTGTGTAAACAGGCGGCAGAGTCATACCATCACGGTCACCTGAGGCGCTTGTAGGGATCGCCGTCATGATAATGACGGTGACGACGGGCGATGTCCCTCCGAAACCAGTAGGCGGGATGTTGAATATGGTTGCATTTCCATCACCAAGGACAGTAATACTGGTATATGCAGCATCGTTTGGGATCATGAAAGTGCTGCATAAGTCAGCAAACACGAAATGAAGACGGGAATATCGATATGGTGAGCATACGTTGTCAAGGTCTCATACAAAGTGGATGACCCATCAACGATCATGATGGGCTGGGTCTGGATCACTCTCCTCCCTTCGGGGCAGACAGGACGCAGTGGACCTAACTTTGCATCAGCTACTGCAGCCACCAAGGCCAGGGCCAAAAGTGGCTTGAGGCGTTGGAGAAGCATGGTCAGCGGAAATAAGATGAAGGAGTATTTCCAATTACGAATGTCAAGGGAAAGGAATTACTTGACCATTAATCTCAGCGAGGGCCCGAATAGAAAAGGAAATAAAACTAATGATATCATGTCCATTCACGGCCCAGTAATTCGTTGGCAATACAGCAAAGACAAAAGCAGAACAAGTTGTCATAGGCGATTAACATAATCCTACAGACCTTCGTCATTCAAAAAGACATCAAAAGATCGATCGGCGAACACAAGAGGGTCATGGATATCGAGAGCGCCATGTGCATCAGCTGCAGCACGTTTACTCCCTTGCCTACCTCTCGGCCGAAGGTACCGACAACACGGATACAGTAAACTTTAAATCACCCCATTTCTCGTCGTCTAGCGTCAAGCCATGCTTTATCAGGGGTCTAAAAGGCTCAAGGGTGGTTGCACCCGGGCACGGGCGAATCCCGTTTTCCCGTGCCTTGCAGTCTGTCTAGTGTGTATGCCAGCATGCAATCTGATTCGCTATAAAGGTTTTTGGGACTGCTTTCATTGACATTCGGGGAAATGTTTAAACAGCTATGGGAGAACGTTGTATACAAGCGTCAGACAACCTCATGGCGTCTGTACACTTTTTCTCACAGTTACAATCTGAGTATTCGTTTTTATTCTGATTTTGTGCGATTATAATGTTGCAGACTTTAATCCGCTTTCGGCATTTCCGGCTAAGATACTTCGGTTTCATCAACACCGAGACTCCGAGAACGCTATACAGACTGCTTCGAGTCTCTTTATTGGCTGACCCTGTCTAAATCTTCCTTCTTCAAGTCGAGTCTTTAGACGCTTGCCGTGCCCTCGGTACCAGACCGGCCAAATGACGTTTGGTGGCTGAATGTGTGTTGCCTAGTGAAATGACGTTTGAAAGTGGCTTGCATCTTATTCTTCACGCGGCTCCTTTGGCCTGTTCACTAGACACCATCAGCAAGGCTGTCAATTCAAATGCCGTCAGTGGTATTTCTCATAAGTCTCAACTGCTGGAAGCAGCTGAGAATAGAGAAACTAATACATCTCTCAGTATGTTGACTTGATGTGTCTCGTTGAGCCGTCACAAGCTTCGACCATCTATTCGTCCTTCTATTTGTCCATCTCTTGTCTCTACCCGAAAACATGCTGTGTTTGGTAGTATAAGGAACTGGCTTGACCGTTGCAGCTAGAAGGTTCTAAAACAGCGCATTGCACTGGCGTGACAAGTACTGCGGTGATACTGCAATACAAAACTCGATCCTGGAAATCACGGCAGTTGACAGGATCGATTCTGTCTAAGAGATCTTGAAAATTGATAAATCGTCAGCGGCTTTTAATACTTTTTGTGTCCAAAGTGTTTCCAGTGCTGCTAATCTGTCAGAGTTCGAGCTAGCCATGGCATGCGTTCCGCCCTCGGCAGCGCTTATAAGACATTATCATCTGTCTGAACTTAGCGCAAAGTCATGTTTTGAAACACAGACTGGGCTCCATTTATGAACTTCTCAATTGGGAACAGCTTATCGTTGCTTTGCCGATCATTGAAGAAACAGGGACAGGTTCCCCGGAAACTGTACCCACACAGCCCCAGACATTGGATGTTTTGCTTTACCACGTGCGCATTATCATTATAGGTACCCGAGAAGGTTACCGGATTAAGTAGGTGGAATGGAAGAATTTCAGGAGAATCTCTTTGGAATCAGCTCGTACGCTAGGATTTCTATTACTGCATACACGCCTCCTCGTACGACTTCCATCTAGACACCAACTCAAAGCGGTAAATAAAGCTCGTATGGCAGTCGGCAGTTGTTAACGGCCACCGATTATAGCTCCATTTCTTGTTGATAAACCTGTTTGTAGATTAATAATCTTTCGCTTGGCTAAACACAAGTCTCAGAGGGTTGTCCACAAACCCGTAGATTTGGGCCGTAACCGACCGTTTTGGTCCCATCCAAGACCGTTAGCTCCACAGAACGGGATCCTCGGTGCTGTGGAGACGAATGTGTTTTATCTAGCAACCAGTCACAAAACGGCGCTTCCAGAGGGATGAAAGTCAATCGGGAATACATATGTGGATCACGGTTCTCTCGCGTGTGAGCCCCCCCTTCGGTTGTTGACTGGAATGCTACCCCAATATTTTCGGCAGAGCCCCGGGCCCAAGGACACGGTTGACGTGCTGCTAGGATGTAGGATAAGGTTCAAGCACCTGCGCTAGTCTGGCACAACTAACCGTTTCCTTTCATGACATTCTGCAGTACCGGATCCATGGTTCTCTGTCGATCTCAGAGATCATCAGGGGTCAAGCTGATCTGGAGATGAGCTGGATATCACCCAGTGCAATGCGTACGGACTGTTCTGGCAATCAAGGAATAAGAGCACTCGGGTTTTGAAACGATCAATGGTAATATTTAATTTTGAGGATTCTTATTCTTAATGTCTCAGTTAAGAACGGACCAACACCCGGCTTCAGTCTTGAGATATTTCAAGTCTTCTGAGGCAAGGGCACTCGCGTTGCAAGCCATACAATGGGGTCACGTATCATCTTAGGTGTCACCTGGCTCTGCCTTATCCTCACAGCATCTGCCCTCCCAGCTCCTGATCCTTCTTCTTGCATCAGTGAGATATCTCTGCCCACCATTACTCTTCGCCCGAGTAAGGGCATCTACGAGAATGTCTACACTAGGCAATACCAGGAGTTGGCCCCCCAAGGCTTAACGGTAGCTACCTACACCTTCACTCAGACGTGCTCAACCATCAACTGCCCAATTCCCCTCGAGACCGCTCCTCCCACTGGCTTTACCCAGGCGGTCGTCGCCGACGGATCACTCACCGCGACTCTCACATTCCCCATTGAGTCCCTGACGGCATACTCCGCTGCTGGCTACAGCGTCAAGCCTGTCAACACTGCTGCCCCTACGAAGCTTGATTCGGGTGCTGGCTCTACGCCTACCTCAAGCACGGCGAAGAACACTGGCAGCTCTTCCAATAATGTCGACAAAATCCCGAGCTACTTCGATAGGAATAAGCCAACCTCATCTGTAGGGGCGTTCACTCCCCTACTCAGTCCTTCTTCCTCTACGGGAATCCTTACCCTGGACCCATCTCCCTCGGGGCTTCCTCCTTTTGGGGACCCATTGAACAAGGACAACAGCGGATCTAATGGTCAACAATTTGTAGTTGTGGATGCTGCTAGGGCAGAAAGGCCGAATGTTATGGCAACTCTTTTAATATTATGTGCAAGTATACTTATAATGCTCTTATTCTAATATTTATTTTTCTGCCTCTTTTTACCTAAGGCATAGAGGGAATCAACACAATAAACTTAATACTTTACCAGAATTACATTAGATATCAGTACTTGAGCGTATCTTGACAGTATTAGAGGAAGTTGCAAAGCGTATACCCTAAGTCCTAGTATATGTGTTGCCCTTAATGGCTACAGTTATCTGGAATCCACTAATAATGACGTTGGCCTGGTGGGTCCGGATGAGAGATTCTCCGAAGAACGATCGGGAAATGTACCAGTAACTCTACGCGAGAGCTTACCCTCATACGCGGCAATTGAACACGAGAGCAGGGATAACTCTGATGTTCGTCGTTCTATGGGACTGGTCTAAATAGCTACAAGAATGCAGTTACTAAGATAGCCCTGATTCTTAATTATCTGCTCTCGATCAGAAAGTATCCGTATCAGCTTTCCCACCAAGCTCGGTCTAGTGCATGAATGGTTGCAGAGTTGCCAATATTAAGAAATTACTTGTGAGAAATAACTCAACACTAAAGAGCCAAGGAGATGCTTATTCATTGAGAAAGAAGAATTTTCCCAGCCATGTAGGGATCTGATAAGATAATCTGAACCGTTGCTGCACTGTCATAGGTTAAGCTTAAAGTGCCAAGACGTGTCGGTTATCAATCTAAACTATTTGCGTGGTTAGTATGAACTGCAGTGGTCTGATGACACGTCTTGGCATGGGGGAGCTCTCGCACTCATGCAGATTTAAGAAGACGCTGTGCCCTGCGAGGGGAACTGAATTTGTCACTGCAAAATTCCAAGATGGCTGCAGAAAAGAGCGAGATCACACCTGCCGGCCAGGGTCCTTTGGACCAAAGCAGTAGCAGCGCTGCAATTGACTCGGAGAGCAACCAAGATGCCATTTCAGCTCCAACAGAAGCTCTGCGCAAGCTCTGGACCAAGTTTCCGCTTACCTCGGCGTTTGTCGGGTGAGTGAATTTTCAACATCGGGGCCCGCGGGCTGCAAAGCTGATGCGATCTCCAGCCTTTTCGTCATGAACTTCTCTATGATCTTTGCTGCTTCTTCCGCCGGAGTTTACGATCCGTACGCGACTAGTCATTTCCAAGGTCATTCGCTTATTGCTACCGCGAACATCATCCATGGCATTGTTCGCATTGTCACCTATCCACTCGTGGCCAAGGTAGCGGATGTAAGTATACTTTAGTGCTTGTTTGTTTCCTTAACCGAGGCTAACTTGAGTACCAGCATATTGGACGACCGCAGGGATTTGCTGGGGCTGCGATTAGTATGGCTCTGGCGAATGTCCTCTATGCGGCGTGCCGCAATGTCGAGACATATCTTGTAAGCACCTCATCGTTTCCGTGGAAATTGACTGACGCCATCAGGCTGGCGGCATCTTCGAATCGTTCGGTGATACATGGTGGACAATCACTGAGCAGATCTTTATTGCCGAGGTGACCTCCCTGATCAACAGAGGTTTCCTCTTCACCCTCCCGCAATCACTCGCTGCCATACCGACTTTGTACGCCGGCACGTATCTCGGTGAGCATATGCTGCTCAAGTCCTCGTGGCGCTGGGGCTTTGGCATGTGGGCTGCAATCATGCCATTCTGCGCACTGCCAACTATTGCTATTATGCTGTTTATGAATTTCAGAGCGCGAAAGAAGGGTATCGTGAGTAAGCGAACTTCATTGCGAGCTGCCTCCGAAATACCCAAGGGCGCTTCCTGGATCGTCCAAGCTCGACAGGTACTCTATGTCCAGTTGGATATCGTCGGCGCATTCCTGTTACTTGGCGGCCTGTCCATGACACTTCTTCCCCTGTCGATAACTGGGAGACGCAATACTGACAAGTGGACTGAGCCATCGTCTATTATCTTGCTAGTATTTGGCGTCTTGACATTCGTTGCGTTCTTGATCTGGGATGGCCGGTATGCAAAAAAGCCCATCGTGCCTTTCCGCATGATCAAGAACCGCAACGTCATACTCGCTTGTGCTTCGGTGTGCTTGATCGCAATGTCGGACTCGACGTACCGAACATTTGCTTCAAGCTTCTTGCAGGTCGCCGGTGGCTATTCTCCTGGCCATGCAGTTCGTATTGAGTGAGCGCCCCCCAATCGCCATGGCGAGGCGCACAAGTGCTAACGATTCATCAGCAATTCTCGGCGCGTTGCGTTGAACCTCGGAGGTCTTGTTATTGGCTTGGGCATTAGATTTGTCAAGCACACCAAACCATTCATCATTCTTGGCTGCTTGATGGTTGCTTTAGCGAACGGACTTCCCATTTTCTTTACAAACATCGACGGAGCTCGAGTCGCAAATGAAGCGTCACTGACCACGGGACAAGTCTTGCTTGGTCTTGGCCGTGGTTTCGCTCAGGTTCCACTCCAAGTCTCTCTACAAGCCGCTGTTCCAGACCATGAAATTGGTATGGCAACCGCCATGTTCCTTTCCTCATCCGGATTCGGTGCGAATGTTGGTAATAGGTAGGTCTTCATGCAAGATCCATCTTCCGAGGCAGCAACCAACCTGCATCTCAAGTATTGGAGGAGCATTATGGAACACCCTGCTTCCCCGCCGCCTCGCTGCAAACCTCCCAGAAAAAGTCAAGGCCAGCAGCACTGCAATCTTCCGTTCGATCGCAGTTGCACAGAGCTATGAGTTGGGCACCGAGACTCGTGATGCGATCAACCTGAGCTATCGCATGACACAGCAGACCCTCGCCATTGGATCTCTATCCCTGTCTATTCCGCTGTTGTTGATGATGTTCTTCTTCCGAAATGTCAAGCTAGCCAAGGAAGATAACGAGAGGAACGAGATTGCAGAGCAACAGCTTGCTGCAGCAGAGCAGAAAGTTGGTAATGTACAAAATGAGACGAGCGAGAAGAAGTAGCCTGTTAAATCACGCAACATCCCATCGAATGCCCTCTCCTGGGTGATGAATCGGGGCACATTTCTCAGAATTACCCATTTTGTCATGGGGACGTGGGAGCTCAGTTGCAGCTGTTGACAGATGGCACTCAATGGCACAGCATTCAAGCAACCTCGTCCAATGCTGCTATCGGCGTAAATAATCTCTGTGGCAGTAATCAATCAGGCGACAATAGCGGCACCAGGGGGCCGGAATCGTACTTATCTTATATAACGTCTCCTACATCGTGACGCAGATGTGTCATAAATATCTGCATAGCGACGCAGATATATTATATTATCTGGCCTATTCTCATGTTTCCACGCAAACAGTGCTTGATTCTCCATTTTTACATGTATCACCTATTGCCAGTACGTCTTCGAAAAGCCCTCAGAGTGACCTCAGCGTGGCCGGCCAGCTCAACAACTTGCATCTACAAATTTGACGCTTGGAGTTGCTATTTAAAGCTTTGGGCTGAAATGCGCGTCGTCAACTTGTGCGGATTGAATGCACGGGGATGTCATTCTGGCGTTCTTGGGATGGAACCATTGGCTTACATGCTGCAAGCCGACAGCCGACAGCAGCAGGCTGCACCTCTTCAAATCTCTCCCATCTGTATATTCCAAGAACAATTAATTTGCAACTATGATATAGCCAAATTGAAGCCATTAATTAAGTGTTAGGCGATGACTACTGGAATGCTCCGATCCTCCTTTCAAAAACGGACATCTCTCAATAGTGTCCTGTTCTACCAAACCTGCATCCTTTCGCTTCAGCCCCAATACGAATAAGCCCTTTGAGGTACCGTACATGAAAGCGGGGGCGGGTGAGAAATTAGCGGTTTAAACAAGGGATGATAGGGCTGTGCAGGCGAGGGCTGGCCGCTAGTTTTCAGCTGGGCGCCACCCTTTCGCTCATTATGCTGACTGCCACTTCACTTAGCGTATCATCCCTACCTATGATACTTACCGTGGCTTACTTATGGGGGTATTCATTCGTCAATGGCAAAGCAAGCTCTGGGCTTACTGGGTCTGGGCTCAGCCATTGTCTTGTTTCGATGCCAGAGCCTTGGAATTGGATTGCTACATAATAAGCGGAGTGCCCCACGAAGAAGCTTTGAGGCTCTGCATCGTCTTGTCCATTCTTCAGACTTGTGATATTGTCATTCCCATCATCACCAGTCAAAATGCACAGTTTTTTCTCCATCAAGGCCGTGGGCTTTGCTCTTCTATCGCTCGCCAATGCCCAGGATGTATCCGAGAACCTGGCCGGTGCTATTGCTGACTACGACTCCCTGTCCCTTTTCCGTTCCCTCCTCGGCGCGGCTCCTCAGGTACTGGCTGAGACCCTTTCCAGCCAGGGTAGCAATGTTACCATCTTGATCCCTACCGATAACGCTATCAAGAGCTACCTGAAAGACTCTAGCATTTCAGACGTAACCGAATTGAACCAGACAATGCTACAGGTCTTCTTCTCATATCACTCCATGGCGGCTTCCCTCTCGTCCACAGACTTTGATTATTCCCGTGGACTGTCGGTGCCCACTTTGCTGAAGAGCGAAGAGTTCAACAACAGAACTGCAGGACCTCAGATCCAGAGCCAGTTCGGCAACAGCGCTGATGGCCAGGTCGTGTTCGCTTCGAGAGAACGGAAGGGGAAGAGAGCTGATGGGGATATCAGCGGGGCAATTGTCAATCTCCGAGCAGGTGAGGAGCAAAACATCAAAATGACTGCTGTCGATGGATCTTGGGGTGAGAAGAATGCCAGCAGGTTTCAGATCGTGGATAAGTGAGTAATAAATCACTGGCTATCTGGCATCAGACTAACAGACCTTTGCAGGGTCCTTCTTCCGCCTCTATCATGTTCGAAGACAGTTCAGGCTGCTGACGACAAGAGACTCACAGCCTTGAATGGCGCTCTAATCAAGGCAGGTTTGTGGCCCGCTCTAGACGCCTCAAAGAACGTAACATGTCTTGCACCCTCAACGCAAGCGTTCAAGGATGCTGGAAGCCCCGATGTTGAGCTGTCAAAGGAGGACCTGGGCGGAGCGCTGTTGTAAGTTGTTTCTGCTACTCATACAAGACTATACTGACGTATCTCAAAGGGCCCATACCCTCAACGAAGTTACCTACTCTAATTACCTTCGCGACGGCCAAGTCATTGGAACTCTGAACAAGACCGAAGTCCGAGTTAGAATCATAGATGACGAAATCTACTTCAACAACGCCAAAGTCATTGAGGCGAACGTCCTCACGAACAACGGCCTCATCCATATGTAAGTCATTTTTCGTCCATCGCATTGGACATACTAACAAGTGCAGCCTCGATTCAGTCATTCAAGCAGGGGGAAAGCCCAGTGAGACCAGCACTGGAACGTCAACCGCTGAGACTGCAAGTGCTACGTCGAGTGGGTCAGAGCCGACCGGAAGCTCTGCGACTGTTTCGCCAGACAATGGAAATTCTGGTAGTCGCCTGTCAATTGACTTTGGCATGTTGAGCGTCTTGGTTGCGGCTTATGCAATCATGTGAAAAGGATTATTCGGAGTATTGGACATATACTAAATCGTAATATATTATTGGATTCCTAATAAACATCATATTATTTCTTTGAAACCTGCACTTCATGTCTCGAGCCGGTCTACCAAGATTGCTTGGGTTCTTACTAAGTATCTACCTCCCCGGGGATGTGTTTTCATAACGTCGACACAAGGCCAAGATAGGCGCCCAATTGACTTTGACTTGCACATTTCGATTTGTTCACCCGACGACGTTCTACTCATCTCAAATCCCGAACCATGCTTCGGCGTGTGGACAATTGCGGGGAGACGCGGGGTGACAGTTACCGGCCGGTCTCGGGATGAGGGGGAGAGCG